TTCGACAAAGGTACACCCGCTTCGCGAACCCGCCATTTTATGACGTCTCAAGACATACATATGGACCCATGCAACCATTTTATGTTAGTGACTGGTCGTTCTAAATTACAAAATGATAAGCAAGTGATTGAACCATAAGTTCCGCTCCAGAGAATAAAACAGATAGCACACGCATAGGAATTACGTTTACCAATACTGTTTACGAGGGAGGCGCGGTGGCCTCATGGTTAGTGCGCTCGTCTCCGGATCGAGCGGTCCGGGTTGAAGCCCTGGCCAGGGACATTGCGTTGTGTTCTTGGGCAAGACATTTTACTCTCACAGTGCCTCTCTCAACCCAGGTGTATAAATGGGTACCGAGGAACTTAATGCTGGCGGTAACCCTACAATTGACTAACATCCCATCCAGGAGGGAGTAGAAATACTCCCAGTCGGTTTCGTGTTTCAGAAACGGAATATGCTCCGGTGTGATGGACCACTTGGCTCATATGCAGACTTTACCATACGTTTAGGCTTCATCGCGTGAAGGCGATGTAGCGCGTCCGGTTTAAACTATAGATACCTAAACCGCTAGGCAATTAAAACCAGGCAAACCATAACAAGGTTAACCAAGGAAACCAGGTGAGCTCAGTAAACAAGTCTTGAAGATCAACTAAGAAACTCAGCAAAGTGAACCATCTTAAGCAAACGAAACAGCCGGCCAAATTAAATAAACTGAACCAGGTGATTAATGGCGAGGAAGAATGCAAACATGGTTACCCAAGTGAACTAAATAAACAAGACGTGCGAGCAAGGTGAACTAGTTGAAAGTGGTAAACTTGGCAACTAAACCAGGTTAACCAAGTGAACCAGCCAAATTGGCGAGGGAAACAAGTTAGGTCAGTCAGCCAAGTGAGCCAAGCCATGCATGTGAACCAGGCTGGGTTTACATGACAACCCAGGCGGGTTTGCTTTGTTCGCATGGTTAACATGGCAGGTTCATTTGGTCACCTGGTTCGCCCAGATTCTGCACTTGGCTCACCTATTATAGTTCATTAAGTTGGCTCCTATAGTCCTTTGAGATAATATAATTATATCATAAGTGTCCCCAATTAGTAGAGGGCTGTTTCCCCCTGCCTTGCTAAACTTTGACACATGCATTAATAAAATTTTTGAATGACTGATTGATTGATTGATTGA